AAATTGGCATTCACTGTCACGTCACATTAGATTAAATTTATTGATAATTTGCAGCTGCCACTTCACTGTAAACCCAGTGAGGCTTGGCCAAAGTTGCCACACTTGACCCTCACCCCCATTCAAGCATTGCTGAAAACACACCCCAAACCTCACGAGCTCCCCGATGGTCCCTCTGAACTCTCACCTTGCTGGGCTTGTCACTTTGAGGATCAAACACCTTTTCACAGAGGCGAAGGCCGGTCTCTTGCCTCAGCTGCTGCAGGTAGGCCCTCATCACCTCTGAAAGCAGCACAGGGAAACCAGGGTAAACTGGGGAGCACCAAGTCAAACTGGATTTAACAGGGAGGCATCAGATAGCACTGCTTCAGGAGAGAGCTTCACATCTGCAGGTGCTCGCCAGCTGGCTGAGTTGGTTTGCTCAATTTACAGCAATATTTGGGATTTTTATGATATTTTTACCAGTAGAAAGGATCATCCAAACTGTTTTCTTCTCTCAGTCACCTTTGCTCATTATTGTGGGCTTCCTATTCTGGCTTGGGCTCTATTATTAGGGTTTAACTAGTGATTATCTGATGCAAAAGGTATTCTTAGACCCTATAAATTTGTTCTGTTGGACCCATGGATCCAGAGGAGTCACTGGGCCCTTGAGGTCAGAAAATCCAGCTTGTGCTGCCTTCAGAAGACAGACCACATATTTAGAAAATCCAGTTTTAATGGTAATTTTTCTAACTGCAGTCACAGAAATGCAGCTAATAAAGTAGGAGCCCAAGGAAGCCCTCAGAGGTGCTGGATCAGCCTTACCTTCCTCCTGCTTGTTGGCAGGTTTGGCGTAAATGGCATTAAGCGGAAAGCCAGGCTCCCCAGGGATTGGGAAGTTAGTTATTCCTAGTGTGTACATTTCTTTCTCTCCTTGGCCTTTGGAGTTACACTGGAAGAACCAGGCAAACAATGGATTAGCAGTTATAAACAAAAGCTGAGGGAGCATTACACCCAAATATTTTACCAATCTGTAACACTTAAAAACTCATCAAGAAGAGCAGGACAGTGTATCCACAGCCTTGGAGTATCTGTGGTTCTGACAGCTGGGACTGGGGTGAACAGGATTATCTGTGCCAGTGGGAGGAGAATATCAGGAAATCCTTTCCTGAGTACAATCCCCAGAACGGACTCTGTTTCCCTCCTGCACAGAAATTCACTTTTCTTACCTTTTGCAGCTTCTTCAGGCACTCAGAAATGTAGAGGGTTACGTAGATCAGTGTTCTGTCAGCCTCGTTCTGCACAAGAGCAAGCACAGAGCCCAGGCACTCTTAGATTAAGGGACACTTTGTGGAACTGATAAAAGTCTGAAACAGGAATGAGTTCAAGCCATTTTGGCCTAGTTTCCCCATGAGAGAAGGACTTGCAATTCACAACATCTGCCCAACTTTAAAGATTAAGTGGAAGGAGAAATTTTGTGATCTAATAGAATTATTTCCTTGAAAATAAATTTATATTCACAGCACTAACCTTCCAAAGAACTACTATATGCACAGTATATTAAAAAAATTACCTTAATTTCATAATTTTTGAAGAAAACATTAGCTTTGAAGTAGTAGATGGCTTCGTCTATGATATCAGTGTCCTTAGCTAACAAAAAAGAAATACAGAGTTAAATATTGCACTGTTATACCTCATTTGTCATAAGTTTTACTCACTGAAATACATAAATAAGCATTATTGCAAAGGCAATTCAAAAAGCAAAAGTCAGCACTATGTAACAGAGAACATTTCAAACACTGAGGAGCTCAGACTGTGACATTTAAGCTTCCTACTCTTTTTAGGAGCTTTAACTTCCTTATTCTCTTTCCTCTGTGCTATCTCACTTCACAAACTGCAGCAATTCAGCAGTTCCTCATTTTTCTACCAGTTGCATAACTCATCAAAGTTTTAAGAGCTGCCTGTCCCACTCCTCAGCCTTGGGAGCAGCCAAGTGTCCCCAGCCACAGACCAGAGCGAGCTCTCTGTAGCTGAACCCCCACTTCCTCTGACACGGAGGGTTCACACCATCACATCCTCCCCAAAAACCTCAACCTGCACAACTTAACTATTTGAGAACTTCTTTCCTCCTCTACAAACTGCAAACCTCTCCATTTCCCACCACTGACTCCTCTTGTCACTCTTGCTCTTGGAGCAACCCACGAGATGAGGAGCTACATCCGGGCAGGTTTTCAGACATTATTATAAACTTACTTTCCCGAGGTGCTGGGCCCTTGAACTGGCTTCTGATGGGTAACAGTGCCATGTTCCCAACTAGCTTGGTGTCCGAGTCCATTAACGTGGAGTGGTAAGCCTAGAACAGGGGAAAGCTGGTTATTGATTCTACTGAAAAGAGACATTTCTGTGTCCAATCACATCCCATGCGTCTCCACAAACAGGAGTCACAGTCTAGTTCATTATGATGCTCCCAGCAATTTTTCCTTGCACAAACACTGCTTTCTAATAAGGCCCAGAACTTGGTGCCATTCTGGTCAATGCCAGGAGAGCATCATCACTGGCACCACTTGCAGTCATGGTGGTGGGAGACAGGATAAAATCCATATGGCTGATCTGCAGGCACAGTTCATCCCCCTGGCTCCCTGACCCCATCCTGGGGGCCCTGTGTAGTTCACTGAAAATTAGTTGGTCTTTTAAAAATAATTTATCTTGTTTCCATGTCTAGCTAATAATAGTAGATAATTATAAATAAAGCCAGGCTTATCACGCTCAAAAACAAAGGCCTTTCTGTGCACTCTAAAACTGGTTTAAGTAAAAAAAAAAAAAAAAGCTTTCTGCATATAACAGATTCTTCCTGGAAAACCGATTTTCCAGGAAGAATCTCATAAGATTATTTTGGGGCACTTTCCAAATGTTCCCACCGTGCTGTGCCATCCCACTGGGAATCCTTCACCTCCTCCCAGCCCAGGTTTTGTGGGGGGCAGAGGAAGATGTGACTGGGGGAGACTGGGTGTAAAAAGCAGTTTATTCGACCCAGGGAAAGGTGGTGTAAACAAAGGCAGAGCAAAGTATTGCTCTGACCACCCTCTCCCCCGCTGGCGCCGGGTCCCACCCTGCCGGCTGCGGGTGGATCCCTGCCAAAGGGAGGAAGAGGAAGAGAAAGAGGGCGCTGGCCTTGCAGCAGCCTCCCCTACGAGCCTTTCCCCGCTCTCCGCAGGGCTCCCCGCAGCCGCAGCCCCTCTTTCCCCCCGGTCCGACCCCGCCGCAAGAGGCCCTTCCCCGGCCGCCGTCGCCCCGCCTCTCACGCATCTCGAAAGGGCAGGAGCGGCTCGGCGGGCCGGGCGAGAGGGGACGGGAAACGTCCCAAGAAAGCGAACCACCAGCGCTCCCTCCGCCTCTGCTGCAGGAAATGAGGCAGCGGCAGAGGCGGTGCGAGCACGGAAGCGGAGCCCTGCACCACCCCGGGGCACCGCACCAGGAAGGGATCGCGGGAGGCTCTGCTCTGCCTGGGCGCTGGCCACACTGGGAAGGGGCTTTGAAAGCACGCTCTGGTGGGGACTTCTTTTCTTTTTTCCATCCTTTGGGGTTTCCCTCCTCTCTCGGCCTTTGCTGTGGCCAGCACTGCAAGTAACCCCTCCTCGGTCACTCCGTGCCACCCTTTTCCAGCCCCGCTGACATCTGAGAGGTGAGCTCCAGTCTCGGCGAGGTCAGCATCAGAAGAGCACATTGGGGATGCTTTACTCGTAGCTGGTTTTCTCCCCTGCGAATTTCCAGAGCTCCTGGGGGTCACTTGCTCTGCCCTGGTGCACAGGCAGCCGGCTGCACGGGACACTCAGTTCCCCCGGTGTAAGGAAGGACAAAACGGGTCCAAACACTTTGTGTTCAGAGGGATACAATATATTCTGGTGCACACTCCTATTACTATCAAGCCATAACCTTCCCTATGAGCCAGCACGCTGAATTTACCCCCTGGTAAATGATTCATGGCATGAGTCAGGGAATAAAAACAGGGAGGTTGGAAGGTGAGTCAAAGTAATCCAACTGCAGGGCTGGGCTTTGCCCTTTCAACACACCACGAGTGTGACTTGTCCCAAGGATGTGCCAGTCTGGAGGTGAGTTGTGACCCAAGTAGCCCCAATGTTTGAGTGGTTTAATTCAATCAGATCAAGTTCTGCCACACAGGGATTTTTGGGAGCCCTTTTCCACTAAACATGCAGGATTTCCTGCTCTGTTGAACCTCTCTCCCAGTTCTGGCTGTGCCTTGGAAAAAGCAGATCTTTACTTCAAAAATAAGCACCATATCAATAGTGAACCTTTTATTCAAACAGACATAAGAACAACCCTACTCCTGAATGAGAAAGAAATTACACCTTCCAGACTAGAAGCAAGAAACTGCAAAGCTCAACTTTGCCAAGCTGCTCTCACACCCCAGGGTTAGGTAAGTGCAGTTGTCTCCAAGTATTCACTCCTTGGTTTGGTTCCCATTAAGGGGAATCCTCACACTCAGACATCTGCTGACCAAGCTGCTCCTACAAAATGACATCCATTTCACAAGGCCATCACTGAGTTCTGTTTAAGGTAGTTTTCCTTCTTTAAGTGTTACAGTGTACATGTTATCCATGAATAAACCACTTAAAGTCATGTGCAAGTTGAACAAAAACCAGCTTTAAGAAGGCTTAAAATGTAGAATCTTCAAAAAAAAAATATGTAAAACACTCAAGTTCTTAAAGAAGAAGCCCCTCCCCTGACCAGCTGCCCCTTTGAAGTTGCCAGTCATCTCTCTCTAATTTAGGTTCAGTTCATGAAATACAACTTTCACCCCTTAGAACAATTCTTTCTCTCATCTACTAATGAAACTAACTACTCAGTGCTGGAGATAAATATTTGTTACAACATATTTAGACTCAGCTTTGCCTATCTGGCAAATCATTAATTTGTTTCAAGCATTCCTATGGTGAAATATATCTATATGAGGGGAACTTTTATATGTGCTAACACTGGTCTATATATTTTATAATCCATACACACACAAGAATAAAAAACTGTTTATTAAAATAGTTTTGAGGTCATATAACTCACTCTTTACTATAAATATTAGTTATCTTACAGATAAAACATTAAGTGTGTTTGTGGAGGGGTCAGGATTTTTTTTTTCATTTTTATTTTTTCCCCACAAAGTATTTTCCTCCCAGTTTGAATATATTTTTTTTTACTCATCCACACGATCCTGAAAGTATTCATCCACAAGAGCAGATTTATCTTCTTCATATTCCTGCCAAAGAGAAAACAGAAAAATACAAACTTTATATATAGGTCAAAATTGAGATCCAAGTATTCTGCAGTACAGAAGAGTAAAAAAATGAATTTAAAAAGGGAATAAAAGCACTAAACTTGTTCCTTAGGTTTTATGAGCCGAATAATAAAACTAGAGAGGGCTTGGAACAGATTTTAACACAGTCTTCTATGATGTATTTTACACAATAGAATTTATTTCTAATCTCTATCTCATATACAACACGTGGGTTGAACACAGGAATTATCATGGCAGTTTGAGCAGTCAGGCAGGAAAGAATCTTACTGATCTCAGTGGTCCTTTCTGACATTTGAAGGTTAAAATTCTGTTGATTTTGAAAACCAAAAGCATTACTTTTAAACACAACCCTTTGATCAATCTGCATATGCAAGATGCTATTAAAGAATTCCACTTTTTAAACTGTAAATGAAGATGATACAGGCCTTGTCACCAACAGACTAAAGATGGCCCGCTTTGAACCATACTGAGAAAATAAATTATCAGCAAGGCAAAGAACATATTTATACTGTGGATCCTTTTTAATTTTTTCATCTCCTCACCAGAAGCACCTTACCTTTGGCTCTTTAAACTCCAGATCCTCTCCATACTGGATGGTGAAGTCTATGTGCTGCAGGACGATGTTGATACTTTCCTCGTCAGAGCGGTCGAAAGGCAGAAATCGAACCATTCCATAGTCATCGATCTGGAGGGAGGAGCCAAAAGAAAATCCAGTAAGTTAACTCTCAGTCACAGCACTCTAAGCCACCTCCTTAAACCACACTTGTCTGCACTGCTAAAATACCACTCAAAGCCACGCTGCAAAACAGTGGCAATTCCCCACTCAGAGAGTTCTACACGATAGAAAAAGCCATTTCCCAAAGGATTCACAGAAAATGTATTGGCTACAATCCAAACATCAAGAGTATAGTATCAATAGCATCAAGAATCTTATGCTAATCTGAAAAAATAAAGAGCTGAGTTAAAAGAGGCAAAAAGTGATATTGAATTTAAGGATACCAGTTCAAAAGCAATATACCTACCAATCCACATATAGATTTAGTCAGCTTCTTAAACCTTTTGCTTTTCAATATATTTGTAGAATCTTCAATCATAGAATACATGTCTGGATCTAAGTACCTGGGAGAAACAAAGTCATCATTAACACTCAAAGTCTGTCATTTAGAATGACACAAGAGATGCAAGATGATTATTTACAGAAAAATCCAGAGATCAGTACAAACATGGAGCTGTTCTTTTGACTCTGTAAGCATCCTATTCAGCTGTTTAAAGACTATGTTTAATATAAACCAAATCCATCTTGTCCCATTCCAAAAGAGGATGTTTAAATTGTGAGAAACATTAGACTGAATTTTGAGCGAACTTTGCCTCAATATATCACACTACAGAGTAAATAATTTTTTGGAACTTACTTTTCTATTTCCTTCTTGGCTTTCTTGCTCAGCAAATCCATTTTGGTCATGATGTTAATCTGTGGAATCTCTAAAGATATCATTGCACTGAGTGCTGCCAGAATTCCAGAGATAAACTGAAAAGAGAAGGAAAAATGATGTATTAAAGTACAGAAAAACACAAACCCAGCACGCAGGACACTCAACCCCAGACCAAATGTAGTAATGAATATATGGAACACGGACACAAAGCGATATGAGGAGTTGGGATATGAGGAGTTTCCCGTTGGAAAAGGGAGGTGTGAAGTATCCCACCTATTTTTGGAGCCTCGGATCTGGATCTGCCACTGGAAAGGGCATTAAGAAAACCCAAACCCTTCTCGGGATTGTTCCTGATAAATGGGGAAAGTGGCCTGCTCACTCTCCAGCTCTGAGAAAGCTCTCATGGAATCACATGAGATTCCAAGAATTTAAATTGGAAGCGACTTCTGGAGGTTATCTGGATCCTCCAACTGCTCAAACAGAGCAGCTTCTAAGTCAGGCCAGGCTGCCCAGTCAAGTTTTGACTCCATGAACGTTCACTGCACAACCTCTGTGCCTGCTCCAGTCTGACCACTCTCCCAGTGCTGGTTTTCTTTACATCCAACTGGGATACCCTTTGCTGCAACTCACGTCTGAGGCAGATGAAGACAAATCTCCCTGGGCTTAGCATTTTCTCCTCCAGGCAAACCCAGCTCCCTGAACGGCCCAGACTTTTTGTGCTTTGTCAATATGAACTTTTCCAACAGCTTTCAAATGGGTACCTTAAACGATTCCACCATAAACTGAGAATCCACAAGGAAGACTCCACAGACACGGAATTCCCACTGCTGGAGCTGCTCCACCAGCTGTTTCATCACTGGCAGGTGCGTGTAGAGCTCGATCTGACCTGGGGCACACTCAGGATATCAATGGGTAGGAATGGGAAGCAAACAGGAATATTTTGCAGTTGTATATAAACATGGAATTACACTTAATATAAATAAAAACTGGTAAGAAAAGCATCCTCTTTTAGGCAACTCTGACTGGTGAAGTGGAAAAGAAATAAAAGGGGTATTTTCCCTCCCTTGACCTCCAATTAAGTGTTATTTGCAGTTGCCACAGTGTCCCCACACCACATGTTGTTACCAAACACCAGTGCAGTCACCCAGAGCAGCCCAGGACCAAGGTAACTCCTGAAACATCTGGAAGTGACTCTGACAATTGTTAATAATGCAAAAAACCATGAATTATCATAACCAACTAAACCAAAGCACTGCAAATTTTATACCGTGATATAAAATACGAAACGATACCAAAACACTGACGTGTGTTTACCTGGGCAGTCAAACAATATATAATCATCCTCCACGTGCCCCAGGCTCTCCTCCAGCCAGTTAAAGTTGTTGGCAAAGTACTCCATGCAGAACACCAAACCTCCATTGGGGCCAAACCTCAGGGATTCATCCTCCATCACGTCGTCCACCTCTATCAGCTCACGGATGTCTGTGACAACACCAAACACTGGGAATAAACCCTCCAAACAGTCTGGGAGGTCAGGGAGCCAACATTCCTTCACTGCAGCACTGGGTGCACAGGGATCTCTATTCATGAGCTAGTACATATTCATTACCTTTCCTGAATACACATATATATGCTAAATACTTTCACGGACCGAGCTGGATATGAGTGGGAGTCTTTTGAGGGTCCCTGGTGGCCGTTTGGGGAACATCCCATTCCCCAAATTTTCCTTTCATGGCCCCGGATCCGCTAATGAATCTCTTCTCCTTCAAGGTATCCCAACTATGAGGTCAGGTCCAGATGTACTTTTCCTATCATCTTTATTCAGACACACTTTGTTCTCAAAACTATGACATATACAGGTAGATGTTAATCACTAGCCCAGGTAAATACAGGGATTAAGAACTACCTGGCACAAGACCCATCAGTCACCGATGTGGGGAGTCGGCACTATTACAAGGCTACATTAATCTCTGACACAGGTGCTGAGCATTATTCACTGATACAGGAACCAGACGCTATTTTGAAGTTTGTAACGGGCCCCCCCGGCGCTCACCTGCCATCACGGGGTAGCTGAAATGCTCGGCCGCCGGGTCCAGGTTCACCACCTGCACGGCGCGGCCCAGCGCCTCGCAGTGCTGCACCATGGTGGAGCAGTACGTGCTCTGCAAGGCACACACGCCCGTCAGGGCTGCCCGGGGCCTCCCCGCCGCGTCCCCGCCCTCTCCACGCTCACTTCCGCGTGCCCGCCGGGCCATCACCAGCTGCGCGTACCGCCGGCATGCGCAGCACCGGCAGCACCGGCGGGGAAATGGCCGTGCGGCGCCCCGTAGCTCGGCGGAGCACGTGTCTCGGGCGGGTCCCCCCGCCCCGTACGGCCGGCCTGGTGGGGCCACACCGTACCCGCCCTCTCGCGAACGGCGCGCTGGGGCGGGCGCAACGTGCGCGGGGGTGTGAGGGGGCGGACCGCCGCGGCCCGAGGGCCTCCGTACCGCCACCGCCGCCCGGGGCCCCCTGCCCCGCTCAGCCCCGCCAGCGCCTCCCCCAGCTCCATCTTCTCCGGAGGGCCCTCGCAGGGACCCCCCGGCGCTGGTACCCAGCATCCTCCTGCTGCGTACCTGGCGGCCGCCTCTCCCTCAGCCCCGGCACCGCCCCGCGCTGCGAGCCGCCCCGCCTCCACGGTACCCGACCCTCCTTCGTTGTTGCCCCATGCGCCCCTCCCTCTGCACCCCTCCCCTCAGCTCTATCCTTCCCCTTCCCCTCAGCTCTGCCCATCCCGTGAGCTCGCGCCCCCATCCCCTCACTTCTATCCCCCCTATCCTCTCTATACTCTCAGCTCTATCCCCCCCTTCTCCTCAGCTCTATCCCCCCCATTCCCGCAGCTCTGTTCCCCCATCCCACCATGTCCATGATCCCCACTGTGTCTGGTTTTCCATCACCCTTCCTCCCGACCTACCCTCGCTTTTGCCCCATAACCAGCCAGCACTCTTCTTCCCCCATTTGGGGTCTCCATGGGTACCCCAAGATCCTTCGTCTCGCTGTGACCATCTCCTGCCTCTCCTTGTCCCCCTATCCCAAACCTCACCCCTCTGGAGCCCTGGCATTTTCCCTCAACATTCCTCACTGCCCAGCACAGCTTGTCCTGGCTCCAAGGCTCCCTCTCACGTCCTGTTTGCTCCCATGGCCCTGGGGGATTTCTTGTGTATTCCAAACTCTTTCCTTCTTCACTCCTGCTTTCTAAGCCCCTGGCCTGAGAACCTGTGCATGCAAACCAGCATTAAGTCCATTAGCTGGCTGAGTTTGGTTTGCTTGTTTTGTAGTGTTTGAGGCTTTTTGCCAGTGTCCTCGGATTGTAATTCTTCAGGCACAGATTTAAATGACCCCTTTTCTTTGCTAGTATGTGAGAGGTCCCTCCCCTACTCCTCAGTGCCCCTGCTGTTCATATGTCACTGATTGACATGATTATTCACATTGTGCTTAACCCAGTGTTCTGTAATTCCATGTGGGTTTCCTAAAGGTCTTCCTTTGTTTACAATGCATTTTGTGGCAGTAATGTGCTAGAATTCCATACTGCTTGGTATCTTTTGTAGCCATTTCCCCCATATGTTTTAATTATTATTTGACTCCTGTTTTTTCCTCCCTGATCTCTCTTACACTTCTTACGCTTGTACCTGTTTTCTCTGGGATTCTTGAGTCTCTGGGATTCTTGTTGAGCTGGGAGGGATGGGACTAACTCAAACCCAGAAGTTGGGTCCTGATTCTTCTGTTCTGTGCCCCCCAGGCGTGTGACATGGCCACGGATGTCGCCGAGCCCGTGGTCCCTGACTGCAGAGGGGACGGGAGGAGCGGTGCCAGGTCAGACGCCGACTACCCCCTCCGGGTCCTCTACTGCGGAGGCAAGTGCTGGAAGGGCAGCTGTCCATGATCCCTACAGTGTGCTGTTTGTGAGGGCACAGAGAAAGAGAGAGTCTCTTTTGGTCAGATTTTATTGAGAAGCTGGACCCTGGTCAGCTCGACCTTTCTGATTCTCTTTCTGAAACAGCTTTGTTGTGTATTTTATCCCACATATTTTTGGTGAAATGTAGGGATCTTCCCCCCTGAGAGACAGGATTGACAGCTCTCTGGGTGTGAAAGGAGTGGGAGCTCTGATCTCTTCCTGCAGAAAGCCAGTAAAGCACAGAAAAGGCCTCTGAGCTTTAGTGTGACAATGAAAAATGGAATACATGGGACTAATTGAACTGTGTGTAGAATTATTCTTTACATTACATTGTAGTTATGTGGGTGAAATTTAAAGGGAAGTAAATAATTTAGGTATGTTTTTTAGGTAGGTTTGTCACTTTGCTTTGGGCTTGAATACAGTTTCAGGGATTAGGAAATAGTCCCTGTTGTGTGTGAAAATCTGCACGTTGGTTTGGGTGGTTGTGGGGCCAAGTCCCTCTTTGGGACTTTGGCAGCTCTTGGAAAAAGGAAAGGTGACCAAACCATGTGGTATTTTATTGGGTGTATCTTTTGCCTCAGGTAAAACTATTGTTTCTTTCTGTAACTTATCCCAAAGCTTAAGGCTTCTCCTTCCCTCACTGACTCTTGCTGTGGTGGTTGTATCCTAATGCAGAACATGTGAGCACAGGTCTAACAAGAGAGGAATTAAAATGTGGAATGGCATCAATACAGTAATGGTTTTGAGCCAGTATGGGATTATAACCAGAAGTTCTGATGTAAGCAGGGCTAAGAGTTGGACTCGATGATCCTTGTGGGTCCTTCCAACTCAGAATATTCTCTGATTCTTTGCTTTGGAATTTAACACTAAGGCTGTAAGTGGAGAACTTCTTTTTGTAATGTGATTTTTTTTTTTCTCCTCTTCTTTCTCCAGTCTGTTCGTTGCCAACAGAGGTGAGTTAATTATTTTTTTGTCTGAATTTTTTCCTTCTGTCCTGTGATTCCTGACTACGATGATTCTTCCTGATATTCTCTGTCTTGTCTTAATTGTGCTCCAGCCACTGTCATCATTAGGATAACATGAGGTTTCTTATATGCTAATATTTGTATTCAGTCATCTTAAGGAGAAATGGCTGAGCTGAATAGCAAATATATTTTGGTGTATTTGTGATGTATTTTGTCTTGCCTCCACTAACAACATTCATGTGATTTTTCTCTAGTACTGTGAATACATGCCTGATGTGACTAAATGCAGACAATGGTTAGAAAAGAATTTTCCAGATGAGTTTGCAAAACTTACAGTAGGTAAGAATCTTGTGTGTTTTCCAAGCTTTTGGATGCTGTGAAATATGTTTGATAATGTCAGAAACCACTAAATAATCAACGTGTAGTTTCAGTAATAATATTTGAGCTTTCTTAAGGTTTCAGCTGTAACCAGTCACCCGTGTGCTTGTTTCCCATCAAAGTTAGTTCACTGGATTTTGCATCTGTCCAGGCTGCTGTGAATGGCTGGAGGAAAGGTCATTAATGATTGGGAACTTGTTCAGTAGCATTTGGAATTTCAGTGTTAACATTAGCACTTATTTAATTTGCATAAGTACTGTAATGAAGATGTAACATGCATCAGTCAAGGGGCTGCTGCATTTCAGCAGAGTTTACTGATTTAACAAAATATCATTGTACCATCCTGTTTCTGGAAGGCTGTCAGTGTCTGACCACTAATTTTGTTCTTTTTCCCCTCACTCCTTTCTGATGCATTTAAGAAAATTCACCTAAACAAGAAGCTGGGGTTGGAGAAGGCCAAGGAAATGTGGGAGGAGAAGAAGAAGAGAAGAAGAAGCAAAAGAGAGGCAAGGTCTAAATAGTTGATTGTGGTACTGATTTATAAGCAGTTTGGGGCATCCCTTTCTCACCTGCTGGTCTGGACCAGGGCACAAATTCCTCGGATTTTGGTTGTGAGCTGTGCTGTGACTGCACAGAAAACAGTGAATATCTTTCCTCTGGTGGCAGCAGTTGGTGTGGTGATCTGTGCTGATGGAAACGTTGGAGAGCAGGGATAGGGACAGCCAGGGAAAGGGGACCTGCATCCTGTGTCTCATTGTTCCAGTCATGGCTATCACACTTATTCAGGGAGCAGTTCTTCCCAACTAAAATCAGCTGGCATTCCTCCCAGGATACCCGTTCCTGCCCTGTTTAGCAGCAGTTTATAGGTTGTTTGCAGAGTAGAACAAAGACTGCTTTCCTCCATGAATGCCTCATGACTCTGCTTTTGCCTTTGTTCCTTCCCCCTCTCTGTATTCACGTAACAGGATTTGGTTTTATGCTTTTAAATCTGTTACCTGTGTCTCCACTAAGAGCTACGTCTCTTTGCAGCAATACTAATGAAAAACAGTTTCAAAACTCAGCTTTGGAACGTAAAAAAATTATATGAAACTACTTAAACACACTTTTATCTTCTATCATTGCAGTTTTTGCTGTTTAATTAACATACTTTCCACCATAAATCAGAGTGCTGGGATTGTTATTAATAGATATTTGCCTGTGCAGTGCCAGTTGTGTCTAGTGCTTCAGAAATTATGGTTAATACCAAGTTAGATTCACATTTTAAGCCACACATCACTGCAGAGGTTTTATTTTTGTGTCTTGGTAACCAGTTTTGTTTGCTTTGCCAGTAGGCAGTGTCTAGTGACAACAGTAATTTATGTTCTGTAGCTTGGATGCTTTTCCCAGAGATTTCAGGACATTTTCTTTCAGCATTAAATTATTGTGTGTGATGGTACAGTTAGTTTTCAGTCTGGGTTTTGGTTCTGAAATAAGAGTGTTTAAAATATTTAGGGATTTTCTCATAATATCTAAAGTTTCGTGAAGACTTACAGTCTGGTGTTAAGCATGATGGTTTAAGATTGAATGCAAAGAGAGAGGATGAGGAAAACCAAGCCTATACTTGCAAAGACACTGCAGGAATTTGCTGAAGCAATTTTAAGACAGAAATTTACTGTCTTTAAAATTATCAGATATCAGTTTGTAATAATGTAGAATTGAAAGTGCTGTGTGTTAGAAAAAAGAGTCACAGGGGTTAGTTTGCTTGTTCTAAATTCTTTAGGTTTTCATCCTGGGAAGGCTCAGGAACATCAAACTTTGGTTACCCTGGAGTAATTTGATGACTGTACACAAAGTCAGCCGAGATCTTAATCTGCCTCGAAGAATCCTAATTAGCGGGATGTAACTTTTCCAGGCTTTGCTCAGACTAATAAATGCCCAGTATGTGAAGTGTTCCCACAGGTTGGCCTAGAAACAGACAGGAGGAAAGATGATGTTCAATCACGTGCAGTTTTGCCTCGTT